CACAATTGAAACATATTCTTTATCAAGTACCTCTGACAATTTCTGCTTGTTGACTGGACTGTTTTCTTGCTGTTGTGAGCTACGTCCAATTCTTTGTCACACAAAAGGACCTGGGAACCTGTCCCAAGATCCCATAAACCACGGTAACGGAATGAGTCTTGCAGAGGACTAAGAGACAGAGCCCTGATGGCACTGAATGAGCCCCTAGATCTAGCCATGTTTGGAATCAGCCATCTCATCTGGACTTCTCAGATAAGTCAATGAACTAATTTCCTTCTTTGCTTTGCTGGAGTTGTTTCATATTAACCTGGAATTATAACTACTATTTTGAATGTCAAATCTTTAATAGTGTGTGAGTAAATGATAATACTGTGGAAATCTTGATCAATAAAATTGTAAGCTAGGATCATTTCATGTGATGATTTGGGTAGCCAATATCAACACAGTCACGACATAGTCAGAGGCCACTACAGAGATGGGGAACAGGGAGAATCCTGGGGCTCTGCCTGCTACTCATTAAAAGCATGATTTGTGTTTTTTTCTGGGATAGTCAGGGATTTAAAAACCATTTTTGCTACGAACCATGACTCTTCACTAGAGCCTACATGGGCCCAATAGTAACTAAAAGCAAAACAAAGCTTGATCTTTATTTCATATCCTTTGTTACTATAAATCTTGGATCAGATCTCAGCTTTTATAGAGTTATGTTGATCACTTAGGGACTATCTGTCTAGGAGCTGGCCAAACTGGGTTGATTAGCCATCAATTAACATGCTCTCATCCCCCTTCAAGACCTTCAAGACTGAGGACACCAAGATAAGAGGTTTACAGGGATATACAGCTGTATCCATAAGCCTCCAGTCATTGTCCTATATCTGTAACCACATGATTTTAGGAAAGGCAGGAACCACGTATGATTGATATCACCACAAACAGAGACAAGCCTTACTTAGAAATGGAGCCATCTCTCAGCTGTGAGGATTCTACAGCTATGATACCAGGACTAAGATACTGTAATGATCAACTGGACCCCAGTTCCCCACCTTGAAAGCGGGCCTCCCACCTTAGCAGGTGGGCTGGTCTCAACCCCTATATCAGAATGTGTCCCCTCCAGCTACCTAAGCTGAAGTTCTTTCTTATCTTCCCTCTAATATTCCAACTAAAACGTTTTCTCCCTGTAAATTCATGCTTTAGGTTTAATTTCCATTTGTATTAAAGCAAAGATCCAAGCTAGCTAACAGCAATATCATCCCAATAATTTTATGGCTCTTTGATGCTTAATGAAATTATAGACATCATTTATGATGATTCTAACTAGTGTTCTTCTTAATAAGGATTTTAATATATTCATATATATCTGCTAATTATGTGTTGATATCCAAAGGGTTGATTCCAAGAATTTTTCAATGTTAATTGCCAATGCTGAGGTGTAATATTAGTAATAATATAGAAATCTGACCTTAATTATAAAATTTCTTTAAAATATGATAAGCTGGGCCAGGGATTTAGCTCAGTGGTGCCACCGCCTGACTCAAAAGTGCAAGGTCCCGAGTTTGATCCCCGTACCAAAAACAAACAAAAAATATATATGTATATGTATGTGTGTATATATATATATATATATATATGATAAGCTTCCCTTTTCCATTCGCCTACAGCTAACTTATTATAATGCCTCTGGTAAGCATATAGATCTCCAAACATTGGAACCAGTTATAGGACCTACTAACAAATCATAAATGGAAAAGGGAAGATTATGTTGTGATATTCAAAATAAACGTATAATAAAATTTTTATTTAGCATGGTATTGCTTTGAAATAGTAACGAATGTAACAAGTTTCTTGGAAATAAATTCAGAAAACTCTCATGATAAATTTACTGATAAGGCTGTAGGCAATTTTCTTCTGTATCTCTTGATAATATTCCTCCCTAACTCCTTCCTTGAATATGGATGCTTTATGGCAAGTAATGGCAGCAAGAAAGACATCAGACATTATTGTCATCTTGGAGCTCATTAAAACTTGGTAAAAACCGAAACTGTTCTGGGCCAGGGATTTAGCTCAGTGGTTTCGCCGCCTGCTGCGCAAGCGCAAGGACCCGAGTTCCATGCCCGGTACCAAAAAACAAAAAAACCCCCCAAAAACCTGTTCTCCCTGCTGAAGTCTATATAGCATTTGACTCTACCTCTCATTACCACATTGGGTGCTACTTGCCAATAATGCCTGTGAAAATCCTGCAACCCAATTATCTCTGTCATATTTTTTTAAATCCCTAAGATCCCAGAGGTCTTCAGGTACTAAGGAGAGAAGTCTTCATACAGCACAATGTGTAGCAAAATGCAGAGATCTGTTATACAAGCTCACCAATAAATTGGTATGAAGGTGAAATCAATTTATGGAACTCAATTATTCTTACAGAAGAAAAGGCTTCCTGGAATTTACTAAGGGAAAAGTCTCCCAGGACCCACTTAAATGAATAAATTTGATTTATTTGTAATTGGCATATTGCTTTAAAGACTTTAAGCTTCTGTATTACCTGAAAAAGTGCATCGCAGAGAACTTAATCAAGCCATCTGCACTGTAATTTGCACTAATAACAGTGCTGCTCCTAGGACCATGATGCCCAGAAGTAGAATAAACATACAATGGTTTCTAGGACTTCATAAACCCTGCATTATGCAATCTGAATTCCCCTCCTACTTGAGAATCTGATTAGGCTTGAGTTGGAAAGATGTGTGCACCTGTTCTACAGTATTCCTGTGGTAAAATCTCAGTGAAGAGAGGATCTCTCCTGTAGGCTTGGGGTAAATGATATCATCTGCTAGAATGTCTGCATTTTAGGGCTTACATTTTCTCCATGCTACACATTTGATTTGGTTTTAGAAAGGTGAGTTTTAAGGAAAACATTACCTAAACTTTATTTCAAATTACTCTGAAGATCAATGCATCTTAGCAATGCTCTAAAATTCCATGTTCATAATCTGCTGTTATGATACAGGACTGGGAGAAAGTAAATGTTCTGTCAACCACAATCTCTCTTTATTATTTTAAAGAGGACTAGTTTCCATTATCAGAAGCAGATAAGGAATGCCAGCACCCATTTGTCATTTAGAATGGAACACTTACTTAGTGGAGAATGAATGAAAGCCATCATGTGGTGGGGGTGTTTTTTATAATAGTGATAACAAAGTCATAAGTCAAGGTCAGGAAAAATTCAAATGTGGTTCCACTGGGTTGCTAATATTTTGTATCAGGTGGGGAATTTCCCAATATGAACTGTGGCTTTCTAATACTTCTTTTTGTCTAAAACAGAGACAAAAATCATAAACCTGACATTGTCTCTCACCTCAAATGGAAATTAGTTTTTACATCACCAACTTACAGATTTTAGTTCCATTTTGAGGTAGTCATTTCTTACCCCCATTTTTATTTAATTAAGTCCCTTTTACTGAGACAGACACCACTACAAAGAGGACAAACTCCTAGGCTCTTAACCTAGGAATTAAAAAGTACTCCTTAAAAGTATGATTGCTCCATCCCCCAAGGGGCTGTCAGGGATTTGAAAGCTGCTGTTGCTAAACAAACAAACAAGCAAGCAAGCAAATTAAAAGCAGTGACTTCACTTGAGCTTACAGATGCCCAATCAGTTTCTAAAAGCAGAAGAAAGATTTGACCTTCATTTTGTATGTCTCTTTTACTACCTTAAAATTTTGGGTCAGATCTTTGCTCAGTTCTGTATATATGCATGTTAACCATTTATAGAGTGTCTGTCTAAACAGTGGCAATACAAGGTTTACTAGTCCTAAATTTACATAACCTATTGCATCCCCCTTCAAGATATGTCTCCAGTCATATTTTCCTAAATCTATGGTCACCTCAGCTCCTGCAGAGCCTTCACAAAACTGAGACTGCCCAAGCAGAGACAATCATCTCAAGGAGACCAAATTGTTCCCTTAAGCAATAAGTACTTCTACAGAGCCATCTTGCAAAATCAGAACTGAGATTATAATCAACCAGACTCTGGCCCACTGCAACAACTCCTTAAAAGCTGCTCACCTCCCCACCCCCACCCCACCCCCGCTCCCCCACCGCCCCGCTGGGGATTTAGCTCAGTGGTGCTGCCTCCTGCCTCTCAAACACAAGGTCCCAAGTTTGATCCCCAGTAACAAAAACAAACAAACAAACAAAAAACCCAAAAGCTCCTCCTTTTGTTGATGAGCCAATCTGATCTTCTTCATCAAAGCAGTGTCCCTTTACCCCCTCAAGCTGAAGTCCTTTCCTATTCTCTAACTCTAAGAAATCAGCCTCTGTCTCTCACTGACACGTCCTGAAATGCTTTTTTACAACCATACAGCAAGAACCTGCCTGGGCTGAGATGAGGTCCCCATCCTCTTTTTAGGGAGATATCCTTAAACCCCATCTGGTAACATTACAACATGTAAAAAAAAAAAAAAGAGTCTGCAGCACGTGAAAATAGGTCATTTAATAACAGAACAAAGCTGTATGTGGACTTTGTAATCCCAGGAAAATGTACAATTTAAAAATTCATAACTGATAGGCTGACCCAGAACTCATCTCTTTCTGAACTATACCTGAGCATCTCCACATCTAGTAGTAGCTATTGTTAAAAGAGAAATAATAATACCAGCAACTAACATTTATTGAGAGGCAACCATATGCCAACCCTGTGGAGTAAAGTGAGCTTTGAAAGTTAGGGTGTTTCTCACACAGATAGTAAATGGTGGAGCCATAGCCACAAAGACCCTTAAATTAACCCAAGCCATGGTCTGGATGCTGTCAGACCCTCATCTTGGGGGGAAAAGTCCCCGAACATAAGAACCCTCTCTCTACACACTGCAGACTAGACATCAACTGCAGAATCCAAGGGAGGCACATTTTCTAGCTGTGTTAAAGGTTTCTAACACTTCTCAGCTAACTTCGCCACATTTCCATGGGCAAGTCTTTCTAAGCTGTAGCTTAAGAAAAACAGGTGTCCCTACCGGAAGAAAGAGTCTCTGGGCAGCACAGGGTTTGAATAATTTCTTCCATTCTTGAGAGTTTCCAACAGAGAATGTGATGGGGTAGATTCTGTGCTCAAACTTCTTCGTATAGGAGTCAGGCCACTGTTGTAACTGAAAAACACAGAAGGCAGGGAAGAGTGTTTAGACATCAAGAAACATGGAAAACACCCAGAAGGCTTCTGGACGGTCAAATGGAAATTGTTCAGGCAATTTACACAGAAAGTCTAACCTCAATACTGCTACTAATGTTCATTAAACGAAAGACTATTTTCTCCTATCAAAACTGCTAGGATTTAAAACAAATGACATTCACAGTTGGCAAGGGGGTTGAGAAGCTGGCACAGAAACATTGCCATGGAGGGTTATTGATTTGAATAAACTGTCAACAGGGTCATTTGGAAACCAGTTACAACTACAAACTCCAAAAGACAGAGGAACAAAAACTTTTGGCACAACCTAATTTGTAGTAGCAAAACTTGGGAACAGTCTAATATCCAACCGCACAGGAATGGGAAAATAAGTTATGAGAGTTATACCATGGAAAAATGTACAGTTAGACTGCATGGAAACATGATTATGATGTACAGTTAGTATTCAAGAAAAGGAAAGTGCAAAAAATATTTATAATATGGCTCTGACAGGGAAAAATACATGTAGATATATTTTATATGAAAAGAAAAATGTGGACAGATATGCATCCAATTATTAAAAATGGGCACCTCTAGAGGTAGTGGTAGTGATTTTATTTTCTAACTTTCTATTTTTATATTGTGTAGAAATTTTGTGTGATTACGTACATTAAGTTTATAAAAATGTTTAATAGACTCATTTTATAGCAGTTTTATGTTTACAGAAAAGTTGGGCAGAAAATATTGAGAGCAACCATCTAGACCCTCACTTTCCCTGGCCCACAACTGCTTCCACTATTGCTATCTTGCATTAGTGTGGTTTGTTTAATACAATTGATGAACCAATATTGATACACTGTTATTATTATGATTATTATCTTTTTTTTTTGAGACAGGGACTTGTTGTGTAGCTCAGGCTGGCCTTGAACTCACAGCGATCCTCTTGGCTCAGCCTCCCGAGTGCTGGGATTAGAGGCATGTACTACCATGCCTAGTTTTGACACACTATTATTAACTAAAGTCCATAATTTAAGTTAGGGTTAACTGTCTGTGCTGTATGGCTCTATGGGTTTGGATAAATAAATAACTTAATATAGGCACCACTGTGATATCATACAGAATAGTTTCACCCTACCTCTGTCCCACCTATACAACCTTTCCTTTCTTCATCCCTGTCAACACTAGCAATCACTGTTTTTTTTATTATCTCTTAGATTCACCTTTCCCAGAATATCATATATTTGGAATCATATAGTATATAGCTTTTTCAACTAGCTTCTTTCACTTAATATTTGCACTTAAGCTTCATTAAGGTTCTTTTTGTGGCTTGATAGCTCATTTAAAAAAATTGTTTAATAGGGCCGGGAATTTAGCTCAGTAGTTCTGATGCCTGCCTCGCAAGTGCAAGGTCCCCAGTTTGATCCCTGGTACAGAGAAGAAAAAAAAAAAAGAAAGAAAAAAATTGTTTGATAATATTCCATTGTATAGATAATGGTTTGTTTCTCCATACACCTACTGAAGGACATTATGGTTGCTTGCAGTTTGGAAAAATTATGAGTAAAGTTGCTATAAATATTTCTGTGCAGGCTTTTATAAGTTTTTAATATGGGTAATGTGGGTAAATCCTTAAAGCTGCAATTGCTTCATCAAATGGTAAGCCTACATTCAACTTTCTAAGAAACTGCCAAACTCTTCCAATGTGGCAGTATCCTTCTGTACCATAATTAAAACATTTTGTGCTTTTAAAACCTTCACTTGGCCTTTGGCATTCTGGTTTTTGGCTATGATGTGCGTACATTTGGATTTCTTCCTATTTATCCTGATTAGGATTCACTATGCCCCCTGGTCTGCAGAATGAAGTTGACCATCATTCTGCATCATTCTCACCTATCACGTCTCTACATACCTCCTGGCTTCTGACTCTTCTTTCCTTCTAGAACTCATTTGCAATGCATTGCCTTTTTCACCATACCCTTCATATCTCTTAATTCCTAGTTGGTATTTTCCATTTCTTTATCTCTTCCTGCAGCATTCTGTATAATATCTTCCAGTTCACAATTTTTTTTCTACAGCTCTGTCTTTTCTGCTGATTAACAGTTTTCACATTGCAGGTCTCATAGCCTGTTCTCACATCTACCAGAGATGTCGGACCCTTGTTCTGACTTAATTATGCAGCTCTACATTCAAGAAAGTAGTTAGGCCCAGTGTGGTGGCTCACAGTTGTAACCCCAGCACTTAGGAGGCTAAGGCATGAGGATAACAGCAAGTTTGAGGCCAGCCTGGTCTACATAGTGAGTTCAAAGTCAGTCTGAACTACATACTGAGACCATGTCTCAAAACAAAACAAAATAAAACCAAGCCAAATAACAAACAAAAAAGGAAGTAGTTAGACCTTAGCCTGCAGAGCCTGCGGGTGATAAATACCTAGTGAGCTTTACTGCACAGTACACACAGTTTTGTGTACTGCACAATGCTGTATTTACTCCACTCTCTGTACCAGAGAGGAGGCCACTGTGGAGTTGCACTTGTACTGAGAACCATCAAGAGACCGAGAGGCCCCTTGTCTCACATGAGGTGTTCTACTGGGCTTAGAGGAGAGCAACGGAGATTCCAGAAGGTCTATTGTGACTCTCTCATTCAGACTCATCATCTGTGACAGCGTGTCTGCAAGGCCCTTTGGGAACTCAGAACTGATACCTTTCTATCGGGGCTGAGACTGGGTGGCAGGCGAGGTGGCTGGGAAGGAGGCCCTGACCGTCAGGAGCACAGGTGTTGAGCATGAGCCCTGGCTGCTCTCCCGTCCCAGCCTCACACTCAGTGGACAACGTGGCTGATGTTTCAGCTGTATATCCTGATTGTGTTGACTTTTACCTTTTTCAGACTCATCCAAGTGCAATCTGTGTCTGGTCCCTCTGAGGTTAAACAGAACCTCCTATTACTTGTCAATTTGGTGGCTGAACAGTCTTTCAGGAAGTTTTTGAATTTTGTCAGTTATATTTCATTGCTAAAGATTGCCCTGTCCCCTCACCTTTAGCCTGCTCAAATTTTCTCTCTCCTTTCTATAAACATACTACATCAGTACTCGGTCAGCCCAACACATGAGCTTCCCGGTGCTTCTGTCGTCTCTCCTAGTGCTTTCTTCCCTACGTGTTAGGTAACCTTTGATTACAGAAATTACATCTTTGGGAATGTTTGCTGCCTGGGTGGATGGAGAGTGAGAGCCTTCAGGAGGATCAGTTTTTGTTTCTTGATGTGGGAGGCCCAGAGGCACAGGAGATGTCTGGGCCTACTTTCAATTCCAGTTCTCCACTTGTACTTTTTTTTTTGGTACCAGGGATCGAACTTGGGACCTTGAGCTTGGGAGGCAGGCACCAGAACCACTGAGCTAAATTCCAGGCCCACTTGTATTTTTTTTTAAAGGACCCCACAAATACTTGAGTTTCAAGTTCTGAATCCACCTGAGGAATGATAATGTTCACAGGTTCTTGAAGGAGAAAGACTAAAAGAAAATTTTTTTACTCAAAGTCAAGATATCATTCCTTGTTCTCAGACTGTGGGAAGTTTTTATTTTTTACTTTAACACATCTTTCCCCTCAAAGTGTAGCCTTTACTGGGTCCCAGCTTTTTCTGAGGGGTGGTGGTGCTGTAGGTCGAACTCAAGGCTTCGTGCATGCTAGGCAGGTGCTCTCCCACTGAGCCACACCCCAGCTTTCAGGCCCCAGCTGCGTAAGGAGTGTTCTCCATTCACCTGGTGTCTGTGCAGGCTTTGGGCCACTGCCCAGGGCCATGGATTCATCAGCATGGGCCTTATGACCCCCTAAGCACCCAAAGGCACAGTGCTTACTTATCTACTCATCTTGTGCTTTTGCCTCATTCTTTACCTGTGCAAATCATTCTCCTTTCTTGCAGTTCATTCATTCTTGCAAGTTTGAGCAGCTATGCTTGTTAGAGAACAAGAACTTAGGGTATCAAATTTATCTCACTGCCCTCACATGGCTTTGGCTGGCTGACAATAGCAAACTAGATACAGTGGACCCTTGACTTACGAACTCGATTGATTCCCAAGGGCTGGTAGCAACTCAAATTGGTTATAAGTCAATACAGCTGAGATCTTGATGTTTACCTGGGTACATGCTATAGATAACCGGCAAGATGAGTCTTCCATTAACCTAATTAACCCAAGTTGTTTTTATGTCAGGCTGGTTGTAACTTGAGGGTTCACTGTACAAAGAAGTCATTACAACTAAATTGCACTGGGCGTGGTGGCACATGCCTAAAATCTCAGCACTCAGGAGGTAAGGAGGATCACCGTGAGTTCGAGGCCAGCCTGGGCTCCATAGTGAGTTCAAGGCCAGCCTGAACTACATAGCTAGACCCTATCTCAAAAAAGAAAAAAACAAAAACAAAAAAGGTAAATTGCATCAGTCAGGATAAACCAGGTTTTAGTGAGGTAACACCCCTTCAAAATAGGAGTGTATTATTTTAAGAGTTCATTTATTTTAAAAAGTTTCTTTCTTGTGCCTACTACCTGTTCTGACTATTATTAAAAGGCTCAGCTCCATATTCTGACTCAGGTGCCAAAGTGGTTCAGGCTCCATGTCAACTCACAGGTCAGTGACACTGAACAGTGATGTATGTCACCATCACCTATGTTTCACTGGGCAAAGCAAGTCGCCTAGCCACACTCAACTTCCAAGGAGTCAGGGTGGCATCAAATGAGCAAGTGCCCCAAAAGAGGGAAATACTAATGAGGACCATAAAGTAAGACATCAAGAACAACAAAATGAAGACGCAAGCCCCACCCTAGGCTTTACCCAAGTTCTCCACAATCTTCCAGAACAGGGCGTGGCTAGCCTCGGCTTTCAGCCTGCAATCAAGCACTTTCAAAACGTGTTTCTGAGGGCCAGGGATATAGCTCAGTGGTTCTGCAGCCTGCTTCGCAAGTGTAAGGTACCGAGTTTGATCCCCGGTACCAAAAAAAAG